TTAAATTATTTATATTATATGATATATGTTCTTTGTTTTATTATGTTTAAAATTATTTAAATTTGTTTAAAGTTTTATTTATTTATTTATATAATATCATATTTAAAATACATAATGAAAAAAATGATGTTTTTTATTGAGTATAAACTGATTTTGCTATGCGACGGGATTAAAGACTTTGTGTGAAAAAGATAAAATTTTAATTTTTTATATATTCGATAAATCAAAAAAAAAAGATTGTCCTGTTTAATATTTTGAAGAGATTATCTAATGATGGTTTAAAGTTTTAGTTATGTATTAGAAGGATTGATCGTAACATATCAACAATTGTGAGGATATCAACATGAACAAAAAAAAATATGAAAGTCAATAAATTAATCATTATATTTATATTCTATAACACTAATAAAAAAAATGATATATGCATGAACTGACATTGTAATATTTCAATATTAGTTTGATTTTTTTTCTAAAAAATTATCGTCACCATGCAACGCACGGGACACAAAACTAGTTATTTGGTAAGAGGTAAACCAACCCCTTATTTGATTCTTATTTTTTCAATCACTCATCTCTCGATTGATTAACCTTAAAATTATATAAATATATACAAATTCAACATTACAATATTTTGAAGGGTAAAATAGGTGATTATACAGATTCAAACATCTATCAATTTACAAAAGCAAACTGTTTAATTGATTCTGCTTTTAAATTTCAATCTTATTTCTTATCAGTCAGAAGTAAAATAAAATTTCAGACTTTAACACCTCTTAACAAAAATAACATTTTATATTTAAAAATGGAAATATAAATACTTATTTTTAAAGTAAAAAAATAAATTGACGAATATAGAAATAAACATAAAGTTAAAAAAGAAAAGAAAAAGGAGGTTGGGTTATATTTGGGTGCTGACGAAACCAATAAAAGTCCGCTCCATTTGTGTTGGAAAAAAGGATAAGCAACGAGTGGGAGGTAACCAAGCCGACGCTGACACGCACGTGTACGATGTGGCCGCAGACAGCTAAAAGTGTCCTTTCCACCAATCAAAATTAGACAGCGTTTTTCCTAATACCACCATGGTTTTCAAAAACCACCTTTCCATTAATATCATTATCTGTCTGCTCTCTACTTTTGACCATTATAGTTTTCTTAAAAAATAACCTAGATTACTCTCCTGTACCACTCTCATTTATTAATAGCTACAAAAAGTGACAAATTATTACTATATTTATAACTTCATTGTAATTACTTGTTCTCGTCTAACAAACTATACTATGAAAAATAACGTATTTTAACTTGAATTTTATTTTGGTAACGTACTTTCAAAACTTTCATTGTGATACCTAAGATGTAAAGTTTTAAACATTTAAGTACTCGAGTGATCGGTTGAAGTATTAACCGATTATCATGCTGATATGGCGAATGAAGTGGTATCCAACTCAGTATTATTCGCTGACGTGGTTAGTGACATGAACTTTCTAAATCTAAAATTAGTCTTTTTTTAATCTAAAATTAATTGCAAGAAGAGAGATAAAATATATCATACCTGTTGGAAGATGCTTTTATTTTTTACTGAATATTTACTCTCTCTCTCTCTCTCTCTTTTCTTTTTAAATAAACGTTTACGGTACTACTTTCTTCATCTCATATTTAATGTATATAATGAAATTATAATTATGACTGGTGTTATGTGCTTGCAACGTGAGTTTAAAGTGTATGAAAATTCTAATGGTGTGAAAGGGGTATGTGGCGTTTTGAATATTCATCATTTTAAAAAATTTGATTGTTTCATAATATAAAGTATTGATCATAATTAATGAATCATATTCATCTTCTATAAATATTCAAATCATAATAAATGAACTCTCATCATTTCTATAAATATCTCAATTTATTGGGTTGCATTGGTTGTACAAATGCAACAGGTTGTATTTGAAACAAACTCTTTCTATCTATATCTATATATATATATATATATCTATATATATATATCTATATCTCTATATATATATCTCTATATCTATCTATAAATATATGTATATATATATATATATACTTCAACCACAACCACATCGGCAGCATCTGGACCTGGTGGTGGTTGGTTGGTTGCTATACAGCAAACACATAGTTACTGTGTGTGAATAGAAGAATCCAGATCAATGGGGAGGGGAAGAGTGACGCTGAAGAGGATAGAAAACAAGATCAATCGGCAGGTCACTTTCTCCAAACGAAGGTCTGGATTGTTGAAGAAAGCTCACGAGATCTCGGTATTATGTGATGCAGATGTGGCATTAATCGTCTTCTCTACGAAAGGAAAGCTCTGCGAGTACTCTACAGATGCTTCGTACGATCTCTTTCTCTTAATTTCTACTTACTTCTCTTCTTTTATAATCTGAATCTGAATCTGATGATGAACTGTGGTTGATTTCTGACGGAGTTTTATTTTGATCTCGTAGTTCTAGATCATCATCATAAGCATCAATATGCCTAGGTTTATAAGTATCAGTATGATGAATTGTGGTTTGATTTCTGCGGATTTTCTTTTGATATCGTAGTTGTAGATCATCATCGCCATCAATTAACCATCATCAAAAGTATCAATATGTCTAGGTTTATTTCATGAATTATGTCAACTATCAACAGTTTTTTTGGATGAATCGGACCCATTTTATTGATTGTTCCGGTAACGATGTTTTCAAGTAAGCACAAATTAACACCTTTGTGGTTTTTTTAATTGTATATGTATATGTATATGTATGGATTTTCATGCATAAGGAGCTATTAACACTTTTTTCAAATCGGGTTTCACTTTCACATGTGATGAAAGAAAATAAGAAATCTATTTTTTTAATCATTTAGGTCGAGTCATATCAGGTAATGTCATCAGTGGTCGTCGTCGTTCCTGATCAATTGACCCCTGCATAAATTTTTAAAAATATGTTTTTATGATATAAACTTTATTCTTACAAATTGTTCAAAGAACCATAAAAAATTTATCCCATTTCCAAACCTCTATTTAAAAATTAGTCCAATGGTATTATCGTTAGATGTTAATCATTAATTGTTAGGTTAGAGCTGCTTAGTTGATTTCCAATTTATTATTATTATTATGATTTCGTAGCCTTGATTTCCAATTGTTAATTGCTATTTATTTTGTGGCTAAACACCAATTATTTTAATATTTCATTAGAAAATGCTAACATTTTGTTTTATTATTTGTCTTTTTGATTAATTATGTTATGTTTTTTTTTTTTATAGCAATTTTAATTATTAATTGTCATTTACTAAATTACGATGTGTAATGTAGGGTGATTTTAGTTTGTTGAATGTGTGTTAATTTGTATGATATCTATATAACATGTATATATTGGTTGATTTACCAAGAGCATAGGGTTACGGTAGGATGTCAAAACTTAGTAAGGCGATACGGTAAAAGACAAGAACCTGGTTTTAATTGGAGAAGATTCTAAAATTTGACAAACCAAGGTGGGAATGGGGAACTAAGCTAAGAAAAGGTAGATATTATCCTTTGATCTTACTGAAGTTCAAATATAGCAGAAATTTGAAATTAGACAACAACTATATTTTTAACATATGATTGAAATATATAATAGGTTGATTATATAACACATACAGCTCCCAGCTTCAAGAATATATCGAAATACCCACATACAAATTAATAAAAACTAAAATAAGTTAGACCAAACAAATTGATACTAACATGTCTAGTCGAGTACACACCTCCAGTAAGTTAAGCATTCCTAAGCACAAGCTTGCATAAGGAAACATGCTTAAAACCAAGTTCAGTAATAGCATTTCCAACACGTAAGGAAGTATTAAACACTTTTCTCATGAAAACTAGATATTAACAGTAAGAAAGTAGCAAAGAAAACTCATATGAAATTCAAGCCTAAATCCTCACTCTTAGGGCTAAGATCACACCAACTGAACACTTAAATTAGATCACGAAAGAGCAAGTCATTCCTCCTTTTATAACCATCATAGGTTCCCTAATAACTCCATTAAGTAATACCCCTCAACCAGCCCCAAGCTACGCTCCACGTAAAACTTCAAAAAATGAAAAACAGTAGCCCAACACGCGACTTGGCACGTGGCCTAAGTCACGCGGCTACCCGCTTTGCCTTCATAGCATCCGCCGAGTACAACATTCCTAATTCTCATATTCAGACCATTTCCATAGTAATTTGATGTTCCAAATTGCATTTAAGTCCAAATAAAGCACCGATAATTGGTTTCTAACACCACTAATTAACAAAATACAAGATTACCACACTAATTGGTAAGATCCATAACTATGGAGTTTCGTATTTATATCTACACTCCAAACCACGATGGAACTTCATAGGAAACTCAAGCTTACTAATAAAACTGATTTTTCTCACAATTTCCATATTAATAGATCATTTCTCCAAATGAAACAGTATAATTAACACAAGGAGCCTTATCCCCAAAATTGGACTTCAATGGAGAAGAGAGGACATACAGAGGATTGATGTTCATACATGAGATTGATTTTCAACCATTTGTTGTTCCCAAATCTCCAATTGGCTCTTTCTCCTTTGCTTTTTTTTTTTCTTACGGTCACATACACATACACATACACATTTGGTTCCATCAATTGCAAATGAGAAGGAAATAGAGATTCCACCCGTTGAACCCAATATTTACATTCTAATCCCTGTAATAGATCAAAACTTCACCTTCACCCTCCAACTTACTAAATTTTCTAAAATTCTAAAATTAGGTTATTACACACACCAAAATGAATATATCCAAACCAAATATATCAAAACATATAAAATTGCCAAAGATCAAAACCATCACATCTAACCGTGTAAAAGAGAAAAAATCTTCTTGATTTTATTTTGTATTTACTGCAGGAGATTGTGATGATCAATTAGCTATTGTTTAGGAAAAGATTGATTTTGTAATAATGTAGTTTCTCAAGATAGATCGGTCTTCATCTATATATACTGCATCATTTTTAATACTATGAATACAAGAAATATACTTTCTACATGGTATCAGTAGTCTATGGTATCTTTGCTTCTTATTCCTCTTTCTTGTGCTATCCTCCCATGGCTTCTTTCTCCATTCCCCCTTCCCAAAACACTGCCTAATTCACTAAGCTAATGAAACCAACTACCTAGTATGGCTCTGCCAACTCAAATCATATCTCCATGGCCAGAAACTATGGGGTTACGTCGATGGCACCATTCAAGAACCTTCTCCCACCATCACCACACCTGCTCCAAATAATCAACCTTCCACCATAAAACCAAACACGCTCATGAAAAATGGTTTACAACCGATCAACAAATCGTTAGCATCCTTACCAATCTCTCTCCGAATTCGTTGCTTGTCTCACTATTGGCTTTGACACGTGTAAAGCCATATGGGATTGCCTCTCGCCAATCATTTTTCCAGAATTCCCTTGCTAGGATTACAAGCTTCAAGCTCCAACTTTTTGACCTTAAAACAGGCTCCCAAACCATTGACGAATATCTCCAACAAGCCAAAACCATTGCCGACTCTCTTGCCTCTATCAATCAACCGGTAATAATAGAGGTGTCAGGCTCAGACTCTGAGAAAGATGACATGCGSCTAGTCCCAACTCTTAGTCTAGTAGTCTTGAAACTCAGCCTTACTTCCTTTGGATTTCGATCCCCTTGTTCACAAAGGGGCGCAATTGAAGCTCATCTAACGATGTTATAGTGGCTTTCTGATGTTGATTTAGTCGCTGCTAGCTTTCATGGCCTTGGTCTAGAATACCTAATGCTTCGAACTGCTTTAGCCCAAACTTCTTTTCTACCAACTTTAGCCCAAACTTCTTCGAACTTCTTCCTTACCTAATGCTACCGTTCATGGCCTTTGTCCAGAATACCTAATGTTTCGAATTGCTTTATCTCAAACTTGTTCCTTACTAACCTTCACTCGAAGTCTAGTGAAAGTTGGATAGGAAGAAGCTTGTGCTAAAGCAGTTCAAAGCATTAGGTATTCTGGACCAAGGCTATGAAGGGTAGCAACGACTAAATCAACATCAAAACAGGTTGATTGATGGAAGCAATAGAGTCGGCAATGGTTTTTCGGCTTGTTGGAGGTATTAATCAATGGTTTGGGAGCCCCTTTTAAGGTCAAAATCTGAAGCTTGAGTCTTGTAGTCCTGAAAGGAAATTCCGGGAAGAATGATTGGCAAGGTCATATGGCTTTAGAAATTGGATGGGCCCCATAAAGAAAGAGTGAACGCTCACTCTTTCTTAATTTTATGTCCTAATTAATTTAGGGGATTCCCTCCCTTTTTTTTTCATTTTTATGATATTTTCAGCTCCCTCTCGTCCCGATTGATGAAAAAAAAATAGAGTTGGAAAAGTCCAAAGAAGACTTTGACCCCGTAAGTTAAACTGTATCAAGGCCAATGGTGAGACAAGCATCAAATTTAGAGAGATTGGGTAAGGATGCTAACAAATTGTTGATCTGTAAACCACTTTTCATGAGCGGCATTTGGTTATATGGTGGAAGGTTGATTATTTGCAGCAGGTTTATTGATGGTGGGATAAGGTTCTTGAACGGTACCATCGATGTAACCCCAAAGTTCCCATAGTATTACAAATTATACAATATATATAGATCAAGTGTCGATCTATTTTGAGAAACTACATTATTACAGAATCAATCTTCTAACCTAGACAATAGCTAATTGATCATCACAATCTTCTCAAAGTAATAAATAAAATCAAGGAAATTCTTTCTCTTTTACACCAACCCATAAACTACCTAGCAAATGAATATGAGAAAGTCAAATCAAAAAATTCCATGAGATTTCATATTGAGCTCATACAAATAATCGGGTACACTTGTGTATCAAGTCATATAAACAAGCATAACAATCGTGAATCTTACATACACATTGAACGTGCACTTTTGCATGTACCAAGAATGTGAGATGAGTTGTTGGGCACTACTCCGCCATCCAGGAAACAGAAAAAAAAAATCTAGGGCTGTCTCACATGCCTACTAAAACAAATTCTTTGTTGCATCATGGCCACCTCTCACAAGAGCACAAAAGGAAACGTTGTGAATTAATCTGACTGCCATGGTCGGTGTCGCACTATCAGTGCCTCCAGGATGTGCCTACGACACCCTCCCCATAGGTGGTTAGTAATTTAGTATTGGATTATAGTGACACAAGCACAACATAATTTATAAATGTTGTAATCCAATTCAGGAATCAATCTAAATGGAGTCGATGGTATGATATTAAACCATATCTTAACAGTAGAAACCTTCTGTAATGATTCTGAATTGAACGACAAGCTTCAACTC